CAGCCAGGTCTGAAGAATGTGGGAGAGGGCTAGGAGTGAAGGTGTTCCCTCTCAGTCCATGAAGGCCCCACAGCAGAGGGGATTCTATGTCTCCTGGACACAGGGCCCCGTCATTGTGCCTCCTCTGGCAGCTATTTCTATTAGTCCCGATCTCTAGGCCATTACTCCCTCCCTGCATCCGCCAACATGTCCTGTCTAGATGTGCTTATATGGCTTGTTGTGCCACAGTAAGAATCAGTGCCAGGAAGCAGACTGTCTCTTCCTACTGTGTGCTAATCTAATTAAACCCACCCTCACAGGGTGAGGTTTCTGGAGCCTGTGTCCATCACACTGCATGGTGAAGGGGCTTCATGGGTCCCACCCTTCCTGGACACCCACTGCTTTCATGGGCCTACTCCTCCCAGACTCCTGCTTCTCTCTGTGCCCCACCCCTTCCTGCACCTCTTTCCTCTGTATTCCTCACCAAGCCTGGATGCTCCATGCTGCCTCCCAGAAGCCCACACTACTCCCTCTAGCCCTATTCCTCCAGACCGTCACTTTGCCCCACATCGGGCCCTTCTCTTACTCTGACCCCCTCTGACACCCATACCTCCTACTACTGGCTTCTCCTTATACTCCACTCCCCGCTCATCCTCACCCCTTTCCACACCCACTCCTCCCTAATGTCTCTGTCCAGGAGACTTAGTTTCCCCTGCAAAGGGCAAAGGTGGGAAAAGAGAAAACAATCATAATTGCCTCTCACCCTGGCAGAGGCTTTTGGTGTCTGAGAGTTATGTGTCAGTGTGACTGCAGACCCCTCCCTGTGCTCAGGTGGATCACATCGCCAGAGCGAGAAAGATGAAAGTCGGGGACATGGTGAGTGCTGCAGAGGCCCAAGGAATGGAGATGCTGGTATTCACCACCAGTATCTGACTCACCAGTATCACCTTATTCTAATTCCCATGACCCTTGGAGCCCCCCGAAAGCCCTGCATTTGAGATATGCCATTTCAAGGCCTCTCCCCTGTCTCCTTTCACCCCCTCCAAACCTCCCCTCAGCTGCCCCATATTTGGGGGTGACCAATCCAGGAAAAAGACAAGGAAGGCCCACAAAGGCATTGGGGAGCTCCAAATATGGAAAACATCAACTTGTCTGGGACCCCCTGAAGGAAAGAAACTTCCACAAGGCATCTGTCTACATCCCAGCTGTGCTAAATGTTTGCAAGGATGGGGGGCTTTAGTGGTGCCACAGTGTTTATTCCCCTCAAAAACGGCATTACGTTATGTAACTTGATTCTCCACTCTTTGAGATATCTCTGCAAACCATCCTCCCACCAAGCTCATTTAAGTATATTATGCAGAACAATTTAGCTCCTGTCCCTTAGAGCTTTGGTTTTGAGGTTGAGAGTTGCACCCTGCAGGGAGGTAGCCCCAACTTCAAATCCCATGTCCCCCAGTTACTCCCATTTAGTGGGGCATGGAAGGGAGGGAGGAGGCAAATTACTTCAGTTCTTTAATTTTTTTTCTTCATTGATTGGGGATGATAATGAGAATACTGATAATCCCTGCTTTATGTTTAAGTGAAATGACATTAGAAATGACTGGCACATACCAAGGGATCAGAGCATGTTCACTGCTACTGTCATTATTATGCGAGGTGCTCACCACTGCCCAAGCACAGGAGTCAGCACCATGGCCTACTGTCTGCTGTCACCTTTCCTTTGTCTGCCAATCTGTACAGGAGTAAGAAGTGGGATACTGACTAGTGTTCCCACTGATGTAGTGAAGCCATTGCTTCAGAAGGCACAGCTGATGCAGCAGGTTTGGATTTAAATATCTATTTTTCTCCCTCTGTCACCTAAGCTCTCTGCAACCCTGTCCACTCAAGTCACCTCAGCAAACGCCCAAGACCAAATTTGAGAAGTGCTGTTAATGGTGTGGAGAACAGCACAGGTCAAAATAAGACCCAGAGCCTGAGTTTGCAGACTCTGGATGACAACTGGGTTCCCAGGGCACACTGACACATTCCCTCCATCCTCATGGCAACCCATGTGAACGCCAGTTGGAAGGGAACTCAGAGAAGTGCTAGACTTCATGACTCAGGCGTAGGATGTGGGCTTAGAAACCAAAGAGAGAAGCAAGTGAAATGCTTCTATTTCAATAAGAATGTAATTTGGATCATTATATTCAAATCGAAAATCCTTTAGCTGGTACTGCTGATTTATTTCCATCTTGTTATACCACCGAAACTTTGAATGTTTCAGTTAAAATGCATCACCTACGTTAGCCATCATTCATGGTAATGCAGGGGATGTGATTGCACTCTTTGGGGGTCCATTCGCAGCCTGAGGTTGTACATCAAGCCCAACATCTGTGAACTTTTAAGATTTCCCTAACCTGCAGCCCCTTTCCAAGCACCCTCCACCCATTTTGACCTTTGCTCATCATCTCTCTCACCACTGCACAACTGATCTTCCCGATCAGGAGACAGCTGCCATTGAAAAATAGTTTGCTGACCACAGACCTTAAAGGAAGAGAGTACACCATCCATTTCAGGGAATGAGGGGGTGGGGCACACAGGGAAGCACTGGCGTTGGTCACAAGGAAGAAGGGAAACTGTGGGCAAAGAACTTTGTTGTGGTTTCCATGGGAATGAATGGGCATATGAGAGGCTGGATAAGCAGGCTTTGGATGGGCCAGTTTGAATAATTAAAGGGGACCCCGAGGTCTAGACTGCCCCTACTTGCCTGGTACTTGAACATAGTTGAAATATTGGCCTGGAGTGTGAAAGCCCAATAGAGAAGGCACTTGGGGGTGAGCTCTGGATTGGTTGGTTTGCTTTTGGAAAGCACAATCTAGAGCTTGACAGAATTGTAGCTGTAACGGAAAGGAGGAAAGTCCCTCCAGGGTCAGCCAAGGTCCAGAAGCTAAAGCATGAGAAAACGGAAAATAAAAGACGGTTAATATGCTTGGTTATGTCACTTGTTACTGGAAACTCAGTGGCTTTCATTGGCTGAGGAGCTGGCATTCAAGTTTTTCTACCTTCTGGTCCCTGCCACAGAGTCCAGCTTGCCCACCACTCTGTCCTTTTCCCCTCTAGAACCCTAAGTTCCACCAAAACTGCACACATCAGAGTTTCTCATCAATTCAGTAAAATCAATGCAATAAAAGCAACATCCTTGTATGATTTATTTATCATGCCCCCTATCCAATATCTGGCTAGCCAAAGCCTATCTTTAGTGTCACCTGATCTTTGAGAATTGGTGGTGGGCTGAGGGTCCGTTCACACAGGTAATGCCACGCACAGAGTTCTGCCCATGTAAGTGCCTGGGAAAAAACTCTTCTGTTTCTTTTCATCCACTCAAATGCTATCTCTCCTTCAAGTTGCAGATGAAACCTCTATAAAGACTCCCCAGCCCATTTGAATTTTCTTGCTTCCCCCGCCTTTGATTTTTTTTATGGCCCTTATAGCTTAAAACTTATTTTGCTGATAGTTGTTTAGCATGTATTGGTTTTGTCACCTTGCCTGTGAGAACCTGGAGAATAACATCTAGGTGTGTTCTTCATCATTTCAGAGGCTTCTGTGCTCTAACACTCATGAGATCAGTGATAAGTAGGCATTGTTAGATTAGCAAGCACTGAGAACTGCCCTGTGAATCAGCAAAATGAGTACTGGATGGGATGTCATAAGACCTGTGCCTGGGATGGGTTCTTGAATTGATTTGCAATCCCACCTCTCATTGCCCACAAAGCCAGGATGTTTGCAAACATCTGTAAGTGTGTGAATTCAGAAGCTCCTGTATGTAACAGTGATTTCTCTTTCCCTGGTTAGGGAGTTTACTCACTTACCTTTGGATTTTCAGCCTGGATCCTTCTATAGTGGTGTTCAAGATGTCCCATGAATATTACCAAATTTTCAGACTTGATGTAGACTGGAATAGTGATTGACAAAAGAATAAAAATTTTAAAATAGAATTTTCATGTTCAGCCTGATTTCTTTTCTTCACTTTCTTTTTTTTTTTAAGATTTTATTTATTCATTTGACAGAGAGAGACACAGTGAGAGAGGGAACACAAGTAGGGGAAGCGGGAGAGGGAGAAGCAGGCTTCCCACCAAGCAGGGAGACTGATGCGGGGCTCAACCCCAGGACCCTGGGATCGTGACCTGACCTAAAGGCAGATGCTTAACAACTGAGCCACAAAGGAGCCCCTTTTTTTCCACTTTCTTACTGCATTACTTTGCAAGCAAACAAAACAAAACAAAAACAAATGAACAAACAAAGTAGGATCATCTGCCTAAATACTTGCTTATTTTGTTGGCAAGCCTGTGGGGGTTGCACCATGGCCCATTTCCCCTCTCCTACATTCGGCTTTAGCTATAGGCTCCCATTTTCCCCAGACGAATGTATCATCCTCTCAAGGTGATGATATGGCCGAGTTAGTGTGGAAATGGCTGTGGCATCCTGGAAGAAAAAGAAAATGTAATGAATATGGCCTAGAGACCTCCCACAGGTCATTGTGTCTCCAGTGCATGTTTGTGGAGGGTTTGTATTTACAGGTCCCACAGAGGGCAAGAGAGGAAAGTGGCTTATCTTGTAGAGAGAATCTGTAGATAGAGTTCCTCTGCTGTGGGTGATACAGATACATATCTGCCCGGTGGGAGATGCAGGACCTAGGGGAGTTTTCAGGGTCCTGCCAGCAACCTGATTTTATGATCACTTTTTTAAAGTTATTTTTTTGACCTTTGTATCTGTGTGGCTATTGCTTAAATGCCAATTTGTCTAGTCCGGTTCTTACCTAAATAAAACAAAGGGCTTAAAAAAAAAAAACGGGATTTATAGACATGATTTACACCTACTAAACCTAGTATTTGCATTTACGAGAAAGCAACCACTGTTTCCTACCCTGCCTGAAAATAATGTCCATTTCTTCTGGATTCCAACCTGAATTTGACCAGTCATGAAGGAAATATGCCTGTGGCTGAGCACAAACTAATTTTTTTTCTTTTCTTTTTTTCCCCCAGGATTACACCTTAACCATGTATTTTCAACAATATTGGAGAGATAAAAGGCTTGCCTATTCTGGGATCCCTCTCAACCTCACGCTTGACAATCGAGTGGCTGACCAGCTATGGGTGCCTGACACATATTTCTTAAATGACAAAAAGTCATTTGTGCATGGAGTGACAGTGAAAAACCGCATGATCCGCCTTCACCCTGATGGGACGGTGCTGTACGGGCTCAGGTCTGTCTGTCTTTTCAGGGCCAGTTTCGCAGTTGCATGGTGCATTGGCATTGAATTTCTCATTTGAGATGATTGTAGGGAGTGAGGCCACGTCCTCAGATTAATTAGAAGACAACCATGAAACACTGAGATTTGCACATACACACAAATCTTATAAATAAAAGATTTGGGGCATTACAGTTACTATAAATAGTCACCATGCAAGGGAAAAACTTCCTCCATGGATTGATTTTAAATAACTGGGTTGCCCTATCTAAGAACACATATTCCCTGAGGTTGGATTTTCCATATCATAGCCACAAAGGCCTGTAATTAATATTGCTCTGATGCTGCAGAGGTTTACAATAAAGTTTTCCGAAAGCTGTTTGCGGAGTTGAAAAAAATGTCTAGTTTTGCCATTATATGGATATAATGGTATAATGGATACAATGGATATCCATTATATGGATATATGGTATAATCTCCTCAGAGCTTCATGAGGTGGTGTCGCCAATATTTATGGGAATGACTAAATGTGAGGCTTCCTGATGAGAATCATCTCTCAAGAGGTCTCATAATGAAATCACTTGAATCAGGAAACCAGACTGCTGCCTGGAACCCTGAGGAGGCCCTGGGCTTCCGTGGTTACTCTGGAAACCACCAGACCTTCCCATGATGCTCCACCAGTGCTGGTGGCTAATTATTTGAATATCATCACCCTTGCTTAATGGTGATCTTAAAAATCTTTTGTCTCTTATGTTGATTTTGCAATGATTTTTTTTGTTTTGTTTTGTTTTAGAGTAATTTGTGTGTCTGTGTCTATGTGTGTCTGTGTCTGTGGGTGGGTGGGTAGGTGTGGGTATGTGTATATGCACACATGTGTGCCTTTCTTGATCTCCTGGCCTAAAAGTGTCTTTGAGATCTTCTAGGAGTGACCACAGTTTTGAGTAGAACACGGGTGGATATCTTGGAGAAAACATTTATCATAAAATTTTATGAGTCCATAGGCCTTTAACTAAGACTCCAGCAGGTCTAAAGGAAATCATAACAACATATATTTAAATCCATATTACTGTGACTTTTACTGCTTCAAATGAGGAAAGGGGATTATTTAACATTGTCTTAAGTAGAAAATGTTGAATGACTTTCTCAAAACATCAATATATAGGATAAGAGAATTTTAGCAAAAAAATCAGACTTTAACTGTAAGGGGAAAAAAGTGATGCATGTCAACCAAGCCATGGTATTACTGTGTAAAAAACAAAGTTCAGATTGATGTTTCTCTGGGACATTTCAAGCATTTTGTATTTTTGCCTGGAAATCAAATATGGATGTAAAATTCTGGAGGTTTTGACAAGTACATCAGTTCTACAAAAGATTACCCAGAAACCATGTGAGCGTGAAATGAGGAGTCATGTCCCTCATTTATCTGCCTCCCAAAAAATGAATAGAAAAAGTGTGTACGTGTTGTTTGGGCTGGGGGGAAGAACAAAAAGAAACAAATATCAATAAAAATTAAGCCTAGATTTCTTAGCTTTTTTAAAAGATTTATTTACTTATTTATTTTAGAGAAAGAGCGAGAGAGAGAACATGAACAGGGTGGGGAGCTGAGGGGAGGGAGAAAGCGAGAAGTAGACTCACTGCTGAGCCTGAGGCGGAGCCTAAGGCAGGGCTCAATCTCAGGACCCTGAGATCATGACCTAAATTGAAATCAGGAGTCGGTTGCTTAATCATCTGAGCCATCCCAGAGCCCCTAGGCTTCCTGTCTTTTTAAACAAAACTTGCTATTTGGGTTCTCTCCATTTTTATTTTTGCATTTTTTATTTTCTTACTGGAGCTAGAATACTTTAGTATACCTCTCTTGAAACTTTGTTAGGATAGTGCCTTAGTCTATTCTGGCTGCTATAACAAAATACCATAAGCTGGGTGGTTTATAAACAACAGACATTTATTTCTCACATTTCTGGAACCTGCAATCCAAGATCAAGGTGCCAGTGTTGAGGGAGGGCCCACTTCCTCTTTCATAGTAGGCACCTTCTTGCTGTGTGCTCAGCTGGTGAAAGGGGCAAGGGAGTTCTGTGGGATCTCTTTTATAAGAACACTAATCCCATTCATGAAGGATCCACCCTCATGACTTAAGCCCCCACTTCCTAATACCGCCACCTTTGGGGGTTAGGATTTCAACATATGAATTTAGTGGGGAGGATGTAAACATTCAGACCATAGTAGACAGAATGATATGATATGAATGAAAGAACTGTAAGAAATTTCCAAGCTGTTTGGAAGTGTTGGATTTAACACCATAAAACATGCAAGAATAAGAAAAACCAAGAGAATAAAACTATATCCTTAGCTAATACTCTGCCTGTACATTTACATATAAAAGTTAGTAATTATATAATAAGCTATGGGAAGTTTTCAATAATATACTTGGTATAGTAACTTTAAGAACTCTCTAGTCAAATTTATATCCATTATACATCTCAAATAGCCTCTTAAGTCAGTAAATGGATTTCTAAATAAATAGCTGTTTTTATTCCAATGTAGTCTTAATATACTCCTTAGATCTTTATTTAGAACCTCATATTTTTGAAACAATTCTCAGATCTCCGTGGACCTGGACAAGCTGTCAGAAAGAAAATCTCTAAACAACAGACTGCCACATTCTGCACATGCTTAACAGCTACCCTGTGCCATCTGATTCTTTTTGAAATTGGCTAATCTAGAAATTTATTCCTTTAGATTTAAAAATCACACATAGCTATAGATATTAATTTGAATTTGAATTTGAAGTAATTGGAATTTTCGAACAAGAAGTACCTTAGTATTTCAAAATACTGATAATGTTATTAAATTCATGTATGTACATATTCTGCATTATTTTGTGTGAACTGAAGTACCATTTATATGTATTCTATTTTACACACACACACACACACACACACACACACTCACACTCACACACTCACAGTATATGTATCATGTTTTCAGTAAGAAGACCGGGTGAATGTCCCCACTGGTAAGGCACCCTCCCTTGCCCTCTTGGCCCCAAACCCCATCGTCCCTTTGCTCTCATCCTCCTGCCGTGTTCACGGGATCATGTTAGTGACATAGCAAGCCAAGGATGGGCCCGTGTATGAAACCCCAGTGATACAGTATATCCTTTTGGTATCTAGGTACCATGGCATGAACCTGAAGGAGGTCTGGTGCAACTGAGGACTTTAGCGAGTTAAACTCCCATGAAGGTTTATGGAGCACTAGGATTGTTGTTTATCTCCTGCTTTTACAGTGCTGCTGATGAACATCCAGCCCAATAGGGATTGCTTTCTTACTGGCTATATCTCTGTGATGTTGGTTGTCCTGGCTGTACCCCTGAGACATTAAGGTTGATTTTTTTCTCCCCATTGGAGACTGGGATTGCCTTCACCTGGCTATACAGCAATTGCCTACACTGGTAGGTCAATCACCGTTAAGCTTCCCTAGGCTCCTTTTCCTGTTCATGTCCAGCCATTGCAGTACAGGATCAATGAGGGCTTTTTCTTTGTCAAGCATAGATGAAGATCTCTGGCTGTGGATGAGCTATCCATGACGTAGGTTTGTACGTCATCTCAGTCTTATTCTGGGAAATTAATCCATTATTCTGATGATTCTGCAAAAGTGGTCGATGACTGCTCACACAGATAGTTGAGAGTGATCATGTTCTTGTAGTGATAAAAGGTCATTATAAATCATGAACTATTTTTTCAATGACTCTTATGGCCCCTTGAGTTTGAAACTTGAGCTAACACTACCTTGAGCTTATTGGCTTGAGCTCAGCTGAATAAAACAGTGATCTGAACCTCTTACACATGTTTAAGTCACCATGTGATGTGAGAGAATGCTCTAGATAGGGTATACATACCATCCTAAAATAAAACTGGGGCTCTTTGAATTTCCTTTGGGCAGCCAAAACTTTTCAGGAACTAGGAAGATCTTGGCTAAGATGTTTATGGATCTTGGTCCTATTCCTGTCACAGATTTTCTGTTTTCTTTGGTGCTGGGCTGGAGTTTTTTGCTGCCTATGAGAAGGCAGAGTCATCCTTCTCCTGCCTTCCCATGTTTCTTTTTCAGTCAACTGATCATTTGATGTCACTGAATATCTCACCTAGCACCATTTTGTAACATGATCTTTTCTTCAGGCCATATACTTTGTCTTTGAACCTTTTTTTCTGATGCTAGGAATTGGTAATGGGTTCACAAAATAGTATTTGATTTGCTTCAAAAAGCACTTGAGAATCTAAGGTTGAGTCATCTTCATCAGAACAGTGTAGCCATGTTCTTCCTGAGAAACTTATTACAAAATTTGTTGGAAAATAAACTGCAATATTTCCACTTGCTATTAAAAATACTCAAAATTATTAAAGTTGACAATCTGATAATGAAGAAGTTGAACGCAATGTTAAGATGAAACTACGACTTATTTCACAAGATTCAAATTAAGTCATCTAATTGGTTTGCCTGTCATCTTATTCTGAAACTGCTTTATACAGTGGTTCCGATCAGACATCTTTTTCCCCCAGAAAAGATGTAAGGTAACAGAATTAATAAGGCCCATGTGAATTGAGCACAGGTGTGCTTACTTCCCAAACTCCTGTTTTGTCACTGTTTCCCAGTCACTTTTATGTAAGTAAATAACGTATTGATGAATTGCTTTCTAAAAAAGATTATTCTGGGACCCCTGCGTGGCTCAGTCAATTAAGCATCAGACTCTTGATTTTGGCCCAAGTCATTCATGATTTCAGGGTTGTGGGATGGAACCCCATGTTGGGCTCTGTGCTCAGCACAGAGTCTGCTTGTCCCTCTCCCTCCCCCCACTTGTGTGCTTTCTTTCCCTCTCTCTCAAATAAATAAATAAAATCTTTTTTAAAAGAAGGATTATGCCCATTTTTACTCCTATCAGCAATCAATTATGTATTTAGGGTTGTGACACCTGCTTTGGATTTTATCCTTATTTTGACTACTGTAAATAACCTATTTACTTC